AAGGCTATTTAAGCACTAGTAATCGGCCCAGATATTATCGAGGAAGCAAATTTGAGCAAAAGCTCTAATTTTCACATTCTTGTCTTTGCCTTTGTTCATTATCTCAGGTTGCTGTAAAATGATGTGTTAATGTAGTCGCTTTTATGTTGGAGAAATTAGTCGGCCCATTCGACAAAGACCAGCTAAGCACAAAAGCGGTTTTACAGGTTCTTGGTTCAAAAATTTAAATTGTATGAAAATGGGCCGCTTCTCTTCTCCACTCTTGAATCGCATAAAACATACTCTTCTTATCGCTCAAATTGAAAGTCCCACCTAATCCGAAGGTTCTAGCTAGTTGTGCATATGTACATTGGTTGGTAGCCTCCCTAGTCAGGCATATAATCAGTCATCTCTCATTAAATGCACATACACGAAAAAATGCATACAAACACACACTGGGGACCAATTGATACTATGCTCCACAGCTCCGTTTCCACACAGTGAGGAATTTGAAAAGGATTTAGAGATTTGGCCTTTCACCTCTAATGGTGTACAATTGTTATGTCTATGGCCTTTAATTGATTATCCCATCGGTTGACCCATGCCGGTGCCTTTTCGGGCTGATTCCAGGTTTGATCCCTCTATCCGTAATCGCCTTTTCTTGACTTCCCTTTGTCCCTCATGATCCTCGTCTTGGTGATGTCTCTTACTGTTTTGAATATATGTTCTTGATACAAGCGTCTTCGCTGAATCATCAAGTCTGCAGAGACAGTAAGCAAAACGTTCGACCACTCTTCCTTTTTCCCATCTTTAGGATATAGGATGTCCCCTTGACCAAGTTTATGATCAACCGTTTTAGCATCACTTCTCCCTCCTTTTTTTGCCCTATCTCTTTCTTTCAACCCCATTTCATGTCGACCAGTAACCTATTCACACTATTCTGAAAACTAAGTAAGAACTATCTCTGGCTGCTGAATAGGAGAAAGAGAGAGAGATAAAGAAAGAGAGCAGGAGGAGCCACTAAGTAAGAGAAGGCTTAACTAAGGTGGAGTCTGGTTTCGAACATAAAATTTCCAACCAACTCGTTAGTGTTGCATAAACACAACGCATACGAATCCACGAAACTAAAACAAGCCCCAAGATTACAGGATCATACGCTAGTTTATTTACATAGAAAAAAGTTGTGACCACATCCGCTACCTTTCCTGCATCACTTTGACCCGCTTACATGCAAATAGGACAAGCATAAAACAGCCAACTAAATCATGTAATGCCTCATTAAGGTGAGGCATAAGAAGTAAGTAGGATCTCAGCCGGCCACCTTTCTTAGTTTAGTGGTTTTGGATGATGGTTCGTGAATAACGGTTTCTTGCTCTAACAATGTCCATCACATGACGAACGAAAGCTTAGCACTAAGTCATCGTGGTTGTAGGACGGTAAGCAGATGTCGTATTCGCACAATTCAGTAAACAAAAGTTCAAGGTAACCCTCCTTCTGTATCCAGTGAGGCTAATTTACGAATCCCTTCCATCCGTCTTCTCAAGCGAAATGAAATGTATGCCAGTATTGCACTCCTCTTGCCTCTCAAGTTGACAGTCCCATTTAATCCTAAGGTACTAGTCAGTTGTGTATGTGCGCAACGGTTGGTAGCCTGCCTATTCAGGCGTGTGCACAATCACCTCTCTGTACAAACATCCATGAAAAATGCCCACAAGCACACACATATACACTAGGGACCAACTGATATTGTGCTGCCCAGCTCGGTTTCCACAGCTTGATGAGTTTGAAAAGGACCTATAGATTTAGCCTAGCACCTCTAATGGCAAAAAATTTTTATGTTTCTGGCCTTTAATTAATTATCCCACAAGTAGACTCATATTGGTCATTTCAAGCTGATTCCAGATTTTATTCCTCTCAGTTAAATTGCCTTTCCCTGACTTCCCTTTGTCCCTCATGATCCCGTTCTAGGTAATGTATCTTCCTAAAGTTGGTTCGACCTTGCTGTCCCAACTTTGTCTGAGCGCCAGGGAGACCTTGTGGAGTATACCTAGTCTCGTGTCCTCTGCCGTTAGGCGACATTGGAGGAAACGAGAGCACAAAATTGTGTGAATAAGTGGATGGGCCATATAAAGTGTTGAGAGAAAGAGATTCAGCACTAGAAGGTAGAACAAAAAATAAGGGCGAGTGATGCCACAACGGTTAAACAGAAAATTTGTCCAAGGGATTGCCTTCACTTGCCACTTTGATAAGTTGATACTCTATTCTTACGATGGCGCCTCTTGCTGACGATGCCGGCGAAACGTTTGGGAATGTACCCAGCCAATGGCTAAATGCTAGAAATTACGAATACTCTAGCAGAGGACACGGGACTAGGTACGCTCTACAAGATCTCTCTGACGCTCCGACCAAGTTGCGAAAACAAGATCGATCCAAAACTATAAAGGTAAAGAAGACTGCGAGCAAACAGAAGGCTACACCATCTTGGTCTTCATATCTACTATCTAATATCTCTTCGCGTTGTGAATAGATGTGTTTGGTTCAAGAGTCTTCTTTTAACTATCTTAGCTGAACCTCCAAGTCAGCCCATGCAATACGCAAAATTCTTGCCGACTCCTTCGTCTTCCAGAATCTCTAGATCATCAGGTTTCTTTTAAAGATGATGTCTAGGGCCTCCTTGAAGTTTCATGGGCAGTAAAAATAAATGGAAAATTCAAGCTACTTAAGATATCGGCATCGACTCGAATATTGAGTATTGCAAGACAAAACCGACGTGTGGTACGTACGCACAAAATTATTTTGGAACCGAGTCGAAAGCTTTCGCTTCACAGTATAAAGACTATCTAAATAGAACATTGGCCCAATTTAGCGTTGCTAATTTGCTAGCTCAAGGATAAACATTTAATAGTAAGCCATTTTCCTAAATATTTTTTCAATGAATAAGATTATTTAATTCGGATGCTACTCAAAGAACGGACAATGGAGTTGATCTACCCTAAATAAAAGGAAGGTAATTCACCAGTATCTTAATAAATAATAGAAAGACAACAATAATAAGTAAGGATACAGTTTGAGGCTCAAGTAATCTTTTGAAACAAGGCAAATGACTGCTAGAAGGAATAATGTCATAGACCTTAAATAGCATATGATTCCATGCTTTCAATTTTAACATCATACTAATTAAATAAGAGTAGAAATTAACTCTTTTTATGTTAATTACTTGCCCTCCAGCCATACAACTTTAATTACGAAGTATTCGGAAAAAAATTTCGTTCGAATTCGCTTTCCCTACTTCAGGTAATTATCTTCATTTAGCCGATAATTATCCTAAAGCAAACAGAATTAGATGTGCTATGGATAAAAGGCAATTAATCAAGTTGGGTTGGCAATGGAATAGTGGAAAATAGATGCCAAGCTATTTCTCGATACAGTGGCAACTGTATTTCACTCGAAAAATGAGTGGCGAGCTCAATAGTAATGTGTGGACGTTATGCTCTTAGGCCATTATGCTTCTATTGGGCGCATACTCATGACTTAAGAATGAAGAAAAAGACTACTTTAAATTTTCCATATTTTTTTGCATATCGCTCTTTCATAAGTATTAGCATTTTTCAGCTGCAATTAAGCTCGAACTTCTTTCGTATTAAAGGGACGGGTAGAGCAGATGAGAAGCTCAGGAGTAAATATGAGTCCCGATATCTTGCTTTGCTGGTTTATTAAGTCTCTAACTAGCTATAGAGTGTAGCAGATGAATTCATCATTACAAATTAAAATTAAAAAACTAATAAATCAAATAATAGGTAACAAAAACCTTATCCGAGGGATTGATATGAAGACTCTGAGAGAAAAATATATGGCTAGACATGGATTCCACGTCAGGTCCCGTTTTGGTGTCGAAATGCTGCAATTTGAGGCTATTACTGGGTCTGATTGAAGAGATGTCATGACTGACCAATGCTGGGCTAGCGTTCTTCTTCTTCTCATCGGTAGTACTAACTGCGGAGACTTGGGAGAAGCCAAGGGCGAGATTGGAGTTAACGAAATCGCTTCTGGGGTTTAGCATAGGGGAGGCAATATCACCGGTCCTGGAGAAGGAAGAGGCAGCACCGAGGATGGCACCGCTATCAGTGCAAAGCTGAGGTTCCATGCTGGCTAGAATATGGTTTATCACGAGCTCGGAATTAAGCTTTGAATTTGTAGAGTGCTGTAGAGTTTAATATAACGAGTAAGTGGTTAAAAATAAGATCAATGACCTACATGAAAGTTAGCCAAATACCTCAAATTTAAATAATTAAAATTATTTTTAGTGGCGATATAAACTGGTGACGATATAAACTGGTGACGATAAAATGTTGCTAGGGAACGGAGGATAAATCGCAAATAGGTTTTTACAACTAGTTCGGGAAGAGTCAGAATGTATAAACACCAGATCGAAG